AACAGAGCATTACAAGACATCTGCATTCAACCACTGACCACCCCCCTCCACCCCTATTTTCTGTTTTGTTTATCTCTTTTTGTATTTCTTTGTTTTTTTTGGTTTCTTTTCTTAATTCTCTGTCAAAGCGTCTTTGAGTTTCATGAAAAGCGCTATAAAAGTCCCATGTATTATTATTATTATTATTATTATTATTATTTTTACCTACATTTGGAAGTAAGTAAGAAATGAAGTAAGTGTGTGCATACCTGCGGTCAGCTGGTTGTAGAGCAGCAGGGCGGGCTCCCCACACAGCTGTCCGCTCAGCAGGCAGCGGGCCTGTACAGAGAACGTGTAGTTGTGTCCCAGCAGCAGGCTGCTGATGCGGAAATACGTCTCCGTGGTGTTTCCCAGGGACGACGTCTGATTGGTCACACTCTCATACACATGCACTTCGTAGCCCTGTACACAGCATGTTCAAGTTAATGGGGAATACAAACAGCACAAAGCAATGGAAGCCTTGAGCGGAAAGTGAGAAGAGAAAAGCTTAACCATTTTTATCTTCAAATTTAAGCATAGGAGATTAAAAATAACAGCTTTAGTACAAAACCATAGAACTTCAAGGAATGAAAAAATATGCTTATTTTGGACTGATATTAGACTATATTCAGTGGATTAGAAGATCATTATTCTTTAGAGAAATACAATTAAAAACAATTCCTAGAGAAATACTTATATCCAACCCTTTATGCAAGTTATAGTATAGAAAAGAGGGATTTAAAAGGTCAGATATTGGTGACTCGTCTCACCCTGCTCTCATTGAAGCCCTTCTCCCTGACGGCCAGACTCTTCCAGAAGAGGAACACGTGGTCGTTTTCTGTCAAAATCTTCAGAGCTTCTGGAGCCGGAAGAGGAACTGCAGAAGGGGGATTCTTTTTCTCAGGATAAAATGCATTTTTTTTGTAAAGAATGAAAATCATACATACATTTACTGGTTTTACTTCAGATTGGCGGGAACTTAGTATGTTATCATTGAAAGAGGTGAGAATACACCATAGTCACAAATGTATGATTTACAGTTTGTACCTGTGCTGAGGGTGAAGCTGGCCTCCTTGCTCATGTTGCGCAGACGGACAGAGACGCTGTATCTGCCTCCGGGCTCCAGGCCTTTCAGCAGGTACTCGACCGTGTTGTTCTTGGTGGTCAGCTTGTAGTCATACTCCTCCTTACGGATCACATCCCGCACGTGGATTGCATAAGTCTACATATACAACAAGAGTGAAGATAGGAAGTCAGAATAACACACAACAAGATCTCTGTTTATCATCAGTTGGATTTATGATCATACACCAAAACAAAAAACCAAGCAATTCAGCATTATTCTAATAGTTGATTCCAAATAGATTGTTAATTAAGAAGATTCTGTTTAACTCTAAGATTTTAAACCAGAAAAGTCCTGCTAACGAATTAAAGCCGCCTTTTGCATATGCTGCCCCAGAACGCCTCGTTTTAGATTTGTCTTTTTCCATTGTTTTCTTCCTGGGTACAGTTACGTGCCCATACCTATCTGTCACACCCACCCACCC